TTTGGAGGCCAGGTCAACCTAGAAGAAAAACAAATATTATAACTTGCTCAAGTTATAAAGTTATAATATTTGTTTTTCTTGTTGATCTATTTTTCTTATTGAACAAGATTTATGGCTATGAGCAGTTTGTCATTTTTCTGACCCATTTCCCACATTCTCTTACTCTCAGTAAGATATGACTTTCAGGCTTAGAGATAAATGTGGTCATCAACATCAGAGCGTGTTTATTATTTTTAAAAGCTTCCTGTATTCAAATAAATAGGTGTTTGCGAAGTATGGGAAATAAAACTAACAAAGTCTGAAGGAGCTTCCAGAATGAAACGGTCATCCCTATTAGTCACTCCATTTATATTATACTCACAGGCTCCTTTAATCTTAGTTTCTCTGGTGCTTTCCTAGCTATATGGACCCTGAGGAATGTGTAATATAAATGCTATTTTCTAAAGCTGATAATGGAATTCAGGAGAAGTTAAATTGAAGACAGTACAGGAAGTTGGGAAGTCATGCCCCTCGTCATCTAGACATCAGAGTGTAGAGACTAACTATGACTTGCAAACATGAGCTATTTCTCTGGGACTCTGACATATCTTTCTGCTCCTGCTGCTGCTGCTTCCTATAACCACAGTGACTGCAGGAATATCCAAAGTAGAGATTGTAGCCAAAGCTGGGAAACTAGCCACCAGCCCTGTCATACCTTTAATATTCATCAACCATGCAATGCAATCTCTGTTTTCCTGGATGTTCCTAATTTCAGTTGTTCTGTTCTATCAGCCCTATGAGTGCAGCTGTACTTTTAAAGTGGTTGTGTAGTAATTAACCAATAATATCATTCACCACTAATATTTTGTTGAGTAACAGTCATTGAAATTTTGGCTTCCTTGGATATATTTCTTAAACTTTTATATTTTCTTTATTCCTATTCTGCTTCCTAACTTTTGCCAGTTTGTTTATTTATGTCCAAGTCATATCTCCCTGTGATTACCCTATTGCAGGCTCCTAGGCTGGGTGCCAGGTGGGCAGGTGTGCTAACTTCTAATGAAAGAGAGGCAACCTGCATAACACCCATCTTGCATATTTGTAAAATCCTCATTCACATAATCAGAATTTGCTGCTTCCCCGTTTGTATAACTTGGTGAAGGTAAAACCTCACATAACCTTTGAAATGCTTCTTCCTCTCCCCTTTATTTTAATTTTTATAAATGCTATGTAGTCCTAATTTTTTTACCTCTGGATAATTTATACTTGCTATATATATGTGCTTTATATGTCCTATATATATGTGCATGGGATCATCTAAAGATGATCATCCTTCAAAACTTAAAAAAAAAGTAGGTATATATGTGTGTGTCTGTATGTATGTAGACAGGATTTTCACCTTTGAATTTCCTAAACTTAATGTCCTGTTTCTCTGTTTTTTTCACTTCACAGGACATTTTGAAGCTCTTCTGTATCAGCATATCAGATTCACTTCCTTCTTTTTATTAACAGCATAGTATTCTTTTTTAAAAAGTTATTGGGATGATATTGGTTAATAAGATTATGTAAGTTTTAAGTGTACAGTGATGTAATACATCATCTGTATATTTCACTGTGTCCTCACCACCCAAAGTTTAGTCTCCTTCATCACCGTATAGTTCACCCCCCTAACCCTCTTCAACCTCTCCCTACGCCCTTTCCCCTCCAGTAACCACTGTACTGTTGTCTGCATCTGACAACAGGTTTTCTTTGTTTTATTTGTCCATTTGTGGCTTTCTGTTTTATGTCCCACATATGCATGAAATCGTGTAATTCTTGTTCTTTTCAGTGTGACTTTTTTCGCTGAGCATGATCCATGTTGCAAAGGCTAATATTTCATCTTATGGCTGAGTAGTGTTCCATTCTGTATGGAACATCTTCTTATCCAATCACCACATCCAGTATACCCCATCTTCTTATCCAGTCACCTGTAGAAGGACACTGTGAATAATGCCAGCATAGTATACTCTGCAGTATTCTCAGTATAGTTGTAATTTATTTTAACATTTCTCCACTTAGTTTTATTTTTCCCACATTTTTTAAATTCAAATGATGCCACCATCAACTTCTTTGGAGATTTACCTATGTATTTTTAAGTATTCCTTTAAAATAGCATCCTACGTTTCATCTTTTCTGACTGATTACAAAGGCACAGGTATTCAGTATTTTGATAGACACTTATTCAGCAATCTCCCCACCCATTCAAAAATACTATAATTACACTCGTGTCCACCAAACATGGGAGGACCCATTTCTCCTCCATCCCCACAAAAGATATTATCAATGTTTTTAATTTATGCCAATCCTATGAATGGAAATTGTTCTCTTGTTTTCATTTGTGTATGTGCTTGATTAATAGGCTGAGAAGATTTTTTTTCTATGACAGTGCTCTCCAGAACGATTGAATGACTAAAAGTAAAACCAAAATCTCATAAATTCTTTAAGAAACTACAGGAAAATATATAAGCACCTAAGAATAAATTTATAAAATAAAAGTTAATAGATTTTTGAGCACATCTATAAAAAAGTATGCATGCAGCAAGCATTGGAATATACTTAAAAGACAACTGACATAGAGTCAAAACCAGCCAAGAGGAAACATTCGCTGCACGTGGCAAACAAATTTTAATGCCCATAGTATGTAATTAGTGCCTACAAGTTAGCAAGAAAGAGGAACCAATAGAAATATGAATAAGTAAATATTTTATAGAAGAGAAATCCTAAATGGTCAATAAATGACAAGGGGTTTAGCCTACTTTGTTTTTTACTACGAACAATATAAAATAACTGTCTTATTATGTCAATACATAGAGATCTTATTCTTTAAATAATAGTACATATTACCATTGTTTATTGAGCATTAATCTGTTGATTGGCATCTAGGTTGTTTTCTACCTTTTGCCACGATTAACAATTCTACAATCAGTGTGTGTGTGTGTGTGCGCGCGTGTGTATCTGTTACGTAGATGTCAATTTTTCCAGTCTTGGCCTGTCTAAAAGGTGAAATATTCTTTATTTTTAAAATTAATTAGTTCATTATAAGTGAAATAATTAAATAAAACGAATTATTTAAAATTTTTGTTTGATTATTGTTAAGATTTAATATTCTTAATGTTTATATTTTAAATGTTTATATGCTATTTATTTTTCTTTTATTAATTGTTTCTTTATTAATTATCTTCATTTAATAATTGCTTATCTATCCTCTATCCATTTTTCTATTAATATCAATATTGTTCATGTGAACTCTGTCTATTAATAATATCCCTTTTTTGTCATACAAATTTGGATATCTGGATATCTGATTCCTGTAACTTGCTTTACTTATCTTTCTAACTTTTACCTGACATTTTCTTAACACATCATATTAATATTTTCTACATCAGTTGAATTCATCTCTGTTCATTATTTACTTTATCTCCATCTGTTTTGTCTGTTAGATTATTGTTTTCTCTATAGATTTTATTTACTTCAAAATGAAGAATTATATCTCTTCATACAGGCCTGGGACAGTACCACTTACTTATAATAACAGCTTCTTTATGATGGCAACATGGGCAAGGCCCTAGGAATAGACACTCTGGTCCTGGCAGGTTACATAGCTCCTACCAACTGATTATGGATCCTCCCAGCAACAGACACTTGCCATCCTTTCACCACAGAAAACAGTATATATAGTGTTACTATGTAATGGATCTACTATGCATATTCTCACTGCTTTAAATTCACTGATCATATAAAAAGAGAAGAATGCACTAGTTTAGTGTTTGATCTTTACCACATAGATCTAACGTCACGATCAATTGCTTTCAGTATTTTCTTTGAAATCACATAAAGGTTCATATGTGCCAAATTTCATAAGGATCACATGATAAGGTCAGGAAATACAAATTCCAAGGCAGAATTTATATACCCAGTTCACATATGACAGTAATACTATATAACCATATGTTGAATATAATATACTGTATGTAAATGCTATTCTTGAAAGCAATCCAATCAATAAAACCTAAAATAAATAACACTTTAATAACACATTTCAAATCAACTGAAAATGGAATAGATGGACTCCATGGCAAGAACATCCCTATAAAATTGACATTCAGAGGCCATTAAAACACAGAGAGTAAAACAATCTTGAAACTAAAGAAAAACTGTGAATATTTAGAAGTTTTTAAAAAGCCTGCTACACTGTATGCCAAGATGCAGCAGTCGTTTTTATTTAAAGGGCTATTGCAATAAAAACTGGCTTGCTAAACATTAAAAATTCCGTTTGCCATCTGTTTGCTAAAAAAATGCTTTTTAAAAATATGTACAATATTAACCAGAAAAAAAAGATTTTTTAAAAATACACAGTATTTAATAGAAAAATTTAAAGCAGAAAAAGTCAAGCTTTAGTTATAATTGAGACTATTAAAAGATTGACTGATTTTTATCATTAAAGGAGGTTATGGGAAAGCTACTGAAGTTAAACTTCAAAAGCCTAGCAGTAAAAAGTGATTGTAATGTCAGTAAAACTCCAAAACAGATCAAATAACCCTTAAGTAGTACTAATCCACTCTTCTTTGAACATGTATATGCTTTTTTTTAAGCTGAAAATGTTACACTTTTTTCTTTGTTTCCAACTTCCCATTTAAAAAAGAAAAAGAAATCCAACTATTCAATTGTTAATGGTCAGTGGCTCAGAGTACAGAAACTTACCTTCACTCAAACATGAAATGAGTTATGATTTGAAATGTCTTTTCCTTTTGGGCCTGATTCTGGAAAATGTGGTTTTATCCTTGCACTTTGTACAAAGAGCTTCTCTTTCTCCATACAAACACGTGTGTGCAAATGAATATATTGTGTGTATACAAATGAATCAATGAAGGTTACATACAATAATTAACCAAACTTTTTTCCCCTTTTTTATCAGCTGAAACTCTTACAACAAATAATACATTTGTGATGTAATTGACATTTTTAACTTTAATTTAAAACTTCAGATCCCGGGAAGACTCTGCCTGAAGCCCTTGACTACTGCACAGTTTGGCTGCAGACGGCACCTGGAGAAATAGACAGCAAAAGTGGCATTCCACCTTCCCTCATGATGCTACAAATTAAAGACTTTCTTAATGGACCAGGTAAGAAAGTCATAGTTCAAATGTATGTGCCTTTTTTTCATGAGAATATATGAACATGTACATAGGGTCTGTTAGGGATCTTGCCATTCATTGCCAAAAATGAATAGATCATTTGTTTTCTAGGAATGTACTCTTTTTCAGGCTACGCATTATAGAGATCAAAGGGCAAATGTTAATATGCATTAAAACTTACCTTTAGTTTGACAAAATGTGGTTAACAAGTAAAAAAATAACTGGCTAGAAGCCAAAGACTCAAGATTTTATCTCTACCTTTTCTACTAATTAACTGTGTGACCTTAAACAGTTAATCTAATCTCCTATGTACCTTACCTGTAAATGAAGAAAATAAAATAGATCAGTGGGCAGGTGGATGGATGGATGGATGGATGAAATACATGGTATACAACATAAGATAGTGCATATGGATAGGTTTGATTAAATGTACAGATACACTTATTTCAAATGCTTAGCAAAGTACTCAAAATATATTAATACTAAGTTTTAGATAGATACACACTGATAAAAAAAAACGTATATCGAATGCTTATGTTCTAAGCACTAGTGTTTTACACACTCATATAACCCAAGGAGTAGGCATTATAATTATCCCTATTTTATGAATAAAGGAAAGTGATGTAAATTGCCCAAGGTCATAGCAGCAGATGGTCCAGTAAAACCCAGGTCTTTTTATTTTATTTTATTTTAATCATTGTTCAAGTACAGTTTTCTCCCTTTTACTCCCATTCCAGCCCACCCATCCATCCCTCCCCATTTCCCTCCCATTACCACCCTCCCCTTAGTTTTTGTCCATGTGTCCTTCAAATTTGTTCCTGTAATCCCTTCCCATTTTCCCCATGAAATTCCCTCTTCTCTCCACTCTGGTCACTGTCAGCCTGTCCTTTATTTCAGTGTCTTTGACTATATTTTGCTTCTTTCTTTGTTTTGTTGTTTAGGTTCCTGTTAAAGGTGAGATCATATGGTATTTGTCTTTCACTGCCTGGCTTGTTTCGCTTAGCATAATGCTTTCCAGCTCCATCCATGCTGTCCCAAAGGGTAGGAGCTCCTTCTTTCTTTTTGCTGCATAGAATTCCATTGTGTAAATGTACCATAGTTTTTTGATCCATTCATTTACTGATGGACACCTAGTTTGCCCCAGCACTTGGCTATTATAAATTGTGCTGCTATGAACATTAGGGTGCAAAGGTTCTTTTGTATTGATGTTTTAGGGTTCTTAGGATATAGTCCCAGCAGTGGAATTGCTGGGTCAAAAGGCAGATCCATTTTTAGTTTTCTGAAGAAGTTCCATACTGTTTTCCATAGTGATTGAACCAGTCTGCAATCCCACCAACAGTGTACTAGGGTTTCCTTTTCTCCACAACCTCTCCAACACTTGTTCATTGCTTTGTTTACGATGGCCATTCTGACTGGTGTGAAGTGGTATCTCATTGTGGTTTTAATTTGCACCTTTCTGATAGCTAGCAATATTGAGCATCTCTTCATGTGTCTCTGGATCCTCTGTGTGTCCTTGGAGAAGTGTCTGTTCAAGTCCTTTGCCCATTTTTTAATTGGGTTGCTTGTCTTCTTAGAGTGGAGTCATGTAAGTTCTTTATATATTTTGGAGATTAAGCCCTTGTCTGAGGTATCATTGGCAAATGTGTTTTCCCATATGGTTGGTTCTCTTTTTATTTTGATACTGTTTTCTTTAGCTGTGCAGAAGCTTTTTATTTTGATGAGGTCCCATTTGTTTATTCTTTCCTTTATGTCCCTTGCTCTAAGGGACATGTCAGTAAAAAAGTTTCTGCGTGAAATATCTGAGATTTTCCTACCTACGTTCTCCTCTAGGACTTTAATGGTGTCACGAAAACCCAGGTCTTTATGACTCCAAAGACCTCGATTATTTCTGTACTGTACTAATTCTCGTGTAGCTAAAGATTTCTCCTCCCTTTCCCTTACCCTTGTCCTCCTCTTTCTTTTTCTTGTTCTGTTTCTTCCTTCATCTCATGTTCTGCCTCCTCTTCTTTTTATTATTACTTCCTCACCTTAGTGAAATTTTAACTGTTTATTGGGTTGGCCAAAAAGTTCATGTTTTTTTCCATGAGATTACTCTAATACCACTTAGTTGTCTTTACCTTCATTCGAAACACTTTTGTTAGATTGTATTGTGACAGCTGTCATATCAGCATGCATTAAAAAAAACAAAAATTGGTGAATTTTTGTGCAGCCACTTTAATATTGAAGATGAAAGAAAATATGTAACATTTTTGGCATATTATGCTTTATTTAATTTGAAGGAAGGTCAAAATGTAACTGAAATGCATAAAAAGATTTGTACAGGATATGGAGAAGGTGCTGTGACTCACAGAACATGTCAGAAGGGGTTTGCGAAATTTCGTGCTAGAGATTTCTCACCAGACAGTGCTCCATGGTTGGGTAGACCAGTTGAACTTGATAATGACCAAATCAAATCAAGACATTAATTGAGAACAGTCAACGTTATACCACACAGGTGATAACTGACATACTCAAAATGTCCATATCAGTAAAGTTATTGCTGAAAATGAAAAATGTATCTTTTACCTTATTTTGCTATATATAATGCATACTTTTTTGCCAGAATTTTTTAGAAAAATAAGGATGCACATTATACATGGGTAGTATCTGAAATACCTTGTGCCTGTTCTTGTGTTGTGTAATTATTTGTTACATAAAATTTCTTGTACTATAATATATTCAAAAATAAATGCTAAAATTCCTTTGTAATATAAAATCAAGTATCTAAATATAAATAAATAAATATTTGAATTAAAATGAATGATTTTTTTCCTTAATGTTTGGGCCAAAAATGTGGGTGCGCATCATACATGGCAAAATTCGTTATTTTTATGGAAAAATCTAAACAGACATTTTGGCCAACCCAATATTTAACAGAAAATATTACATTTCCATTTTTATTTTATACTTAAAGTGCTTCAGAACATATTAGTCATCAAAAGAATATTCATTTATTTATTAAGAATCAAAACAATGATACCACACTGTCTTCAGATCTCTGGCAATACTCTGGAAGGCATGCATTTTGAGGCGTGGACCTGGTTGAGTCCGTGTGCCATGGTCTGCCGAGGCCTTAGGATCCACAACTAACAATGGAGAAGGTGACCTGCAGTCACATCTGCAATAAACAGAACCTGAAACTGTCAGCACTGGCCCCTTCCCTGGGGCCCAGTTCTTGTTAAGCATGTTTATCTATTGATGGGATTTAAAAGTGTGGACTTTCGAAGAACTATTTCTAATCATTATAAGTATCTAGACAGGGTTTTAAACACTCAGAGGAAACCTAGAAGCTCGTGATGAAGGCTAAGGGAGTGGTTAAAGTGGAAGAAGCCTTGGGGTAAGGTAATGGATGGATTGACAGGATTGTGAGTCCTAATACTTGGTTAGTGAGTGTGAAGAACCGTATTTCACTGAATCTAAGCCACCACCAATTTTTGGAAAAAAGATTTTATATATCACTAAGAAAAAGAAAAAATACATGCTGTTTAAACTATGTTACAGTTCTATCTTACTGCATCAGTTGCAAGACACTTTCTGACTTCAGAGTTGTTCACATGTAAAAAACTGAACATGTCAGAATGGAGGAAACAGGGTAAGATCATATGGTCAGTTTAATGGAGACATCACTGGGGGACTTGGGTTTACCTCTTATTTCTCTTTCTTAGTGTCAGATTTCTTTTGTTTTTAGGCACAGTCTTTCACTCACTTTGACAAGAAAGTTCTGTTCTGGTTTATATTTGATTGATTTGTTTGTAACAAGAATGGGATATGCAGATCAATGGTAAATTGTATTTTCCGTTGTATTTTCATGGCAATTGAATTTTAAGAGAAATGTCAATGAATGAATCAAAAATTATATGTTTATAGTTCTAGAATTTAATGCAACTGTGTAGTTGAAATGTAATTTTTTTAAAATGTCACTTTGTGTTATACTTTTTTAAATTGGAAATTACATATATGCTATTGCTAACCTTATGTTCATTCAGTAATAATGATAATCTCTCTGGAGATGAAAACTTTTAAATAAATGAATTGAAATAGTTATTTTAGAGCAGTTCTACTCAAACTTGAGTGTGTTTTTGAAGCATCTCTGCGGAGCTAGTTAAAATAAAAACATGATTTAATAGTTCTAGAAGTTGAGGATAAAATTCTACGTTTATAACAAGCTCCCAGATGAAGTGGCTGCTACCAGTCTGCAGACTACACTTTTTGTGCCAAGGTATTATATGATTCATATGTGAAAATAGTGTATGTGTGTGTGTCACATATATGATACATGGTGTACGATACGCACATGTGTGTGATATATGATATATCGCATGTGTGGTATATGGTGTGTATACCATATACGCATATATGATATACACACATGGGTGTGTGGGTGTGTACGCACGCGTGGTATATGATATATCGCACACACACATGCATGTATGTGTGTGGATATCTATGATAATATATCGATAATATACTGATGTGTCGATATATTGATAATATATATTATATATGGTATATATTATCTCATATATATATATATATGATTTTCTTAATACCATCAGTTACAGATATTGAAGACCAAACTGCAGATATCTGGGGGCACAGGAGAGGAGAATGATACATAGAAGAATGATAAGTGTTTGTTTTTTTTTAAATGGTACTTTTTAATGAAAAATTAAAAACAATGTTCAGTGAATGGTTTAAGTTCTTCAGAGTTTAAGAGTCCAGTTCTTCTAAATCTCTTTTAATCAATAGTACTTTTTTTCATAAATTATTTGAGGGAAGATTAGTTTAAATGATATGTCAGATGTGCCGGATTCCACTAAAGCACTAAACTAACAAACTTGAATTGCTCCAGGGTTTACTCTTAGACAGACACATCCTTACTGTAAACTACTTGTCATTTAAAGTATATATAAGTAGGTGTTATTCCATACAATAATTATATTCTCTCA